AACTCACAGATTGGGGAAAAATCTTAGTGAACTGTCCCTCAGAAAAAAGACTTCTGTTCGGAACATATGAAGAATTTAAAAAACCAGATCCCCAAAATTCAAAGACCAATTCCAAAAATGGGCATCTGAGGGACTTTAGGGGGCGCGCGTCAGTGCCAGGCGGGCGCGCCAGGTTGCGGGAGCCATGCGGCGGGCTGGGAGCTGGCGGCCAGCAGGCTGCGCGGGCCCAAGCGGTCGGGTGCCTCCAGTTCTCCGGTGGCTGCCGCCTCAGCTCCCCGCGACAGCCGTCGGCAAAGCGGCCGAAGCCGAAGCGTCGCCCCCGCGGGCCCAGGCTGCTCCCGCCGCCGCCACGGATCCCAGCGACCCCAACGTCCTCGGTGTCCGCGCTGGAGCTGGGCGCGCAGCGGGAGCGCTGGGAGGCGTTCCAGAAGCGGCAGAGGCTCAGCTTCGAGGGCGCCGCCAAGCTCCTGCTGGACACCTTGGAATACCAGGGCCTGGTGAAGCACACAGGAGGCTGCCACTGTGGAGCAGTTCGTTTTGAAGGTTGGGCCTCAGGAGACTTACACATCTTTGATTGCAACTGCAGCATTTGCAAGAAGCAGAATAAACACTTCATTGTTCCAGCTTCTCGCTTCAAGCTCCTGAAGGGAGCCGAGAGCATAACCACTTACACCTTCAATACGCACAAGGCCCAGCACACCTTCTGTAAGAAATGTGGTGTTCGGAGCTTCTACACCCCCCCCCCCCCCCCCGCTCCAACCCTGGAGGCTTTGGAATCGCCCCACATTGCCTGGATGAAGGCACCTTGCGGAGTGTGTCACTGAGGAATTCAATGGTAGTGATTGGGAGAAGGCCATGAAGGAGCACAAGACCATCAAGAACATGTCTAAAGAGTGAGCTCCTGCTTCTCCTCTCTCAAAAAGGGTCAGCATGCCATCTCGGTGGTGTGGCTGACCAGGCTGCTGGTACTGCTGGCCAGCGGTTGCCTTGGTCTCCGTGGTTTAATCCAGCTACCAGTTTCTTTAGGCAGCTCTTTGTCATTTCCCCAGCTCTTTGTGCTTATGCCCAGATTTTGATGCAGGCTAGTTCACCCTGTCCCTTCTTTTCCCCAACTTTTGTGTGATCTTTTAGAAAATAAATATTTTTAACATGAAAAAAAAAAACATAAATGGGCATCTGAGATGAACACACATTTCTCAGATGAAGAAATACAAATGGAAAATAAATAAATGAAAAAATGTTCAGCATCATTGGTCATTAGAGAAATGCAAATTAAAACAATACTGAGATTCCATCTCACTCCAGAAAGAATGGCCAGGATCAAGAAAACTACCAAAAGACAAAAAAAAAAAAAAAAAATAATAATAATAATAAGAAGAAGAAAACTACCAACAACAAATGCTGCAGAGACTGCGAGGAAAAAAGGAACTCTCCTGCACTGTTGGTGGGAGTGTAGACTGGTGCAACCATTGTGGAGGTCAGTCTGGAGATTCCCCAAAAATCTGGGATTGGAGGTTCCGTTTGACCCAGCTATCCCATTTCTGGACATATTCCCAGAAGAACTGAAAACATCACACCATAGTGATATATGTACACCCAAAATTTACAGCAGCACAATTTCTAATAGCCAGGTCTTGGAAACAAATGAAATGCCCATCAGCTGAGGAATGGATAAAAAGATGTGGTACTAAAAAGTAGTGGAGTACTACTCTGCTTTAAATAATGATCACATTGAGATATTTATAAGTAAATGGATGCAACTCGGGACCATATTCACAAATGAAATAAATCAAACTCATATGTGTAAATACTGTGCAGTCTCCCTAGTGTAAGAAATGGTAAGAGTACATAAGATACAAAAAATTCAAAATAATTATAGTGAAAGGATAAGAATCTGCTTAAAGGGGAAAAATAATATCTCAGGGAAAATGAGGAAAAAGAAAAAGGAAGGGATAAGGCAAAATGTCTAAAATTATATAAACACACTTAGGATAGCTAAGATGATTGCGCTACAAACTCTATAAGCTCTTGGAACAAAACAGTTAACATTCATAGGATTGGAACAATTGTGCATAATTTTGTATGGTGATCTGAGGAACTCTTGAAGATCATTATGTAAGATAACCCTACTTATGCTCATATCACCTTGTTTTGAAGGCCTATATTGTCAGTGTTCTGGGCTCTTTGCTACTGTTTCTTATATATCTTTTTTGTTTCATGGTTTTCTAGGAATTTGTTTTGTTTTGCTTTTCCCCTCTAATACAGAAAGGATAGGTATACATGTAGAGACTCATGCATGCATAGAGCTCCTAAAAAGTTTATGAGAATTGATTATATAATGCATGATGAAATGAACAGTTACTTTGAAGAAAAAGAGACACTAAGATACCCAGTGCTGATTCCACAGTGTCATGATGTGAAATCCAGCAAGACTAATATTCTTTATTCAGAGTGATTTTAGTCTGTTTTGTATTGTGTAATTTCAGTGTTGTGAAGGTATGGACAGCTATTTTGAAGAGAATGAGAGACATTATGGCAGCCATTGTTGACCTCCTTATTGTCTGGTCTTGAAGACCTAAAATGCCTCCACTGTCCTGTTCTGATCAGTTTTGTACTATTTTGTTTGGTATGAATTCATTATATGTAAATACATGGACAACTATTTGGAAGAAAAGAAGAGACAATATGATAGACAGTGAAGATCCTGATTGTCTTGCTTTGAAATCTGTGTGTCTTACATTGTTATCTTATTTTGTTCTGTTTTGTTATGTTTAATTTTACACTCTTTAAAAATAAAATTTTAAAAAGAGGCTAAAAAATAAAGAACAAAAGAAGATACCTTTATTCACAAAATATATGAAAGTTACCAGTTATATCTAGTGGTTTAGAAAGAAAATGAAGCTGATAGAGATTGGTGACATTCAAATACTCAAATTTATTTCTATATTAAAATAACACACCAAACTGGAATATTGTGAACGATGTTATTTCCAGTAGGATCAATAAAGTAAGTTAAATGGAATCAGGCCAAAAGATTTCCTGAACAGGCAGACCTGCACAGTCCCAGTAGTGAGCTCGCCTGATTTCTGTACATGAACAAAACCTGAGCTATTTCTTAGAAAGAAAACAGGATGTAATTCAAGCACTCAGAGGCACCAAAAAACTTACAACCTAAAAATTGAGACTGTCAAATAGAATGAGCAAATAAAGGTGCTGTATAATTGCATCCAATCACAGGTTCTCTTTGCTTAAATTCTGGGCGTGTCCGATCAAAGTTACTTTCTTTGTCCTCTGAATGGAGGTCCTGAAACACATGACCTGATTCATAAATTGCTTTCAGCTCAGATTAGCTCTTTAAAATGTGGTGGTGCCCAGGTGTAATCCCAGCATTCTGGGAGGCTGAGACAATAGGGTTATAAATTTGAGTTCACCCTGGGCAACTTAGCAATTTAAAGAGATCCTATTTGTAAATAAATACATAAACAAACAAAAACACACACATAAATAAAATGCTGGGGAAGTAGCTCAGTGTTAAGGCCCTGCAGTTAACCTCTAGTACTGCAAAAAAATTATATTGTGCCTCAATTTACTTCTTAATATATGAGAAGTTATGATATACGTAGAACATAACTACTTAAAGATTTGAAGAGTTATAGCGTATAACACTGCCGTGATGGACAGTATGTATCTGTGTAGAAGGACATTCAAGATGCCAAGAAACTGGAGAGCGTGCTTTGTGAGTGGTCTGCAAAATCATGACGCCAATAAATGAGTGTTTATTCTACCTAAATCAGCCTACAAAATCAGTCCAATTGCTGGGCATGGTAGCAGACTTCCATAATCCTGGCACTCTGGAGACTAAGGCAGGAGGATCCTTGCAAGTCAAGAGCAGGGGCTACAAAGTGAGCTCAAGGCCAATTTGAACTGCATAGTGAAACCTTGCTTCGAAAAGACACACACACACAAAAACAAAAGAAAGGAAAAGAAAAAACCCACTCCAAGACAGGACATTCAGACATACTTTGTTCTAAAACTCCCACAAGCTATGAAATACTAAAATCAGTGCACTGCATTGCTTAGAATTTCAACGTTATGACACCTTATAATAATTATAATGAGGCAGGGTCTTTCACTGAGAAGGAAACTCTGTGTGGGTGATTCTGTGTGAATCCACATCTATAGACACAGGGAGGTTGGGAGGCCAGAAATCCACATGTGAATTCTCGGTAGTGGGAGGGGATGCCAAGTTCATTCTCATGGCGGGGCTGGGGATGGAGAGGGAGGACAAAGCAGGGGGGCAGGGCTAGGGATCCTGTAGCCTCCAGTGGGGCAGGACCAACAGGAATGGGGGTCAGAGATGGGGACCAGGTCAGGCAGGACAGAGAGGGGCAGCCAGCAGCGTGTGAGTGCAGAGTCTCCAGGGAGAAGCTGCTGTCACCAGCTCTGTCCCCCTGAGCTTTTCTTCATTTCTCTGTCCCAAGTCCAGAAGAAGGGGGCTCAGGGAGTCCCCTCAGGCCTTTGTGCTTGGGCATCTCTACACCTGCAGAGTACAGAGGGGCCCTGATCAGAGTGGGCCTCTGGAGTCCTAGCTCAGGACACAGCACAGGACTCAGCTCCTCCCGGAGCCCAGCTCTTCTCAGGGCCTCCCTGCAGAGGAGCTCTGCTCACCTGGTGTAGTAGATCCAGGTGAGGCCGTAGGTGAGCAGGAAGCCGGCCCCCATGAGGATCCCTCTGATCAGGGTGAAGACCAGGTTCCAGGAGCCCTGCTTCTTCTCAGCTGCGCACAGGGACAGAGACCCAGTGGAGGGAAGGAGGTTGGCATTCTGACCAGGCTCATACCCTCCCATCTGGATGTGAGCATCCAGAAAGATCCAGAGTAGGGCTATAGAACCAGAGAGGTGGGGATGCTGCCCTCTGACCCTGTACCCTACACACACACACACACACACACACACACACACACACACACACACACAGAGCTGTCACCACCCAGCACTCACAGGAGACCCTGAGCCTGATGGTCCTCTCCGTGGTCACCTGAGATCCTCCAAGTTTCACCCGGCAGGTGAGGCTGGTGTTGTGGTCCTGGGACCGTGGGGTGAGAAAGAGCACTGAGGAATTCAGGCTTCTGGGGTCTGTGGAGTTGAGGGCGTCCCCCAACCAGGAGAAGGTAAGGGGTTGCCCCCCTTGGCAGGATCCTGGCAGCCTGCAGCTCAGGCGCGTGGGGTGGCCGGACTCCAGAGGCTCGGGAATGTGGAGGATGGGTTTCTCTGTGAGAGCTGAGGAGGAGATGAGAGCTCCCTGAGCCGAGTGTGTGGACCAATGGTGTAGTAACTGTTACCTCATGGTACAAGCAGGCCCATGTCCCTTGTTCCTCTGACTTCCCCAGCCCCATGATCAGAGCAAAGAAGGGTCCAACATCCTGTTTCTACTGTCATATGGGGGTGGTTCAGGACCTGAGGTCTCCTCATGGGGACGCTGCCTACCTGTTACTTGCAAATTCAGCTTCTTATCCCTATAAAGATACGTTGTCTTCCTTGTATCTATTCTGAAGACATAACTTCCCTCGTCCTCCAGGCTGGCATCTGTAATGCTCAAAGAGCAGTTTCTCCTCTGGACTTTCCCAGCAAGGTGGAATCGTCCCTTGGTCTCCGTCTTCACTTGATAATGTGGATGGTTTGTGGCCACAGGATCTTCATAGCCCTTGTGGCTCCCGTCTCTGAACCAGGAGATGAAGAACTCTCCGGAGGAAGAGAACACTCTGGAGGGGTAGGAGAAGGAGCAGGGTACCAGTACACACAGGCCCTCCTGCACTGTCACCGTCCCCTGCACCCGGAGTTGGTACCCTGGATCCTCTTCTCGGGACCCTGTGGGGACACAGAAGCTCAGCGGAAGCTCCAGCCCTCATCCCTACCGACCCCCTTCCCTCAACCTACTCACCAGCCCACATCAGCGACAGCAGCAGCAGCAGAGCCAGCATCCTGCATCTGCCAGGCTCTGGGCCAGGCAGGTTCCTGTTGGTGAAGAAATGCCCAGCTGTGGCTGGGGATGAGGAAGCCAGGCAGGAAGCAGTGGGTGCAGGAGAGCCGTGGCTGCCATCAAAGAGGAACTTTGTGTTGCATGACATTGGGGGTGAAGCCAGGGACTGGGATTGGCAAGACAGAAGGAAAAGAGACATGAGGCCCCGTCAGTGGTGCAGGGAGGTGTGGGATGTGTCCAGACTTAGGAGCCAGGAGTAGAAGATGAGGAATCTTTTCTCATGTATCTTGTCTACACAGGGAGGAGAGCACCACCTGCCCTGACCCTGGACATCAGAGCTCTGGATACTCAGGGAAGATCGGGGGATTAAAGAGGATGTTTACTGATATGTGAAAGGGGTAATGAGGGCACCCCGGGTCGAGGGCAAGCAGGGTATCTTCCCAATCAGGAAGGAAGACAGGACCTTAGCCACAAATACATCAGGGGACATGACCTCTTCTGCAGCACTTGGGAAAGAGATTTTCCGCACCAGTGAGCCCTTGGGTTTGGTCTCTGATCCCTTGATTGTCCTTGTCCCAGGCAGACTCTAGCCCTGGTGTTCACGTCCTGCCAGTCCTGAGACTCGGGAGGTGTGTAGAATGCACAACGGGAATCCAGACCGCTCACTACCAGCTGATCAACCTTACAAATGTTCCAGAAACTCTGCATCTAAGTTGGATCATCTGAAAAACAGAGACAGTTCTAGAGATGCCGCGTGGGGATTGCATGAGCTCACGTGTGTAACATACCTAGGAGAGGGCCTGGCTCTGAGGGTTCACTCTTCATCTGATGTTTTGTGGGTACCTACCATGTGCCAGGCCCTGTTCTAGAAGCTGGAAATATTGCAAAAGATGAGCTCATCATGGGAAAATGAGTCAAAAACTCTAGTGGGGAGATAGACATTTAATACGCAAATTTAAATGTTCACCTTCTCGGGGAAAGCTGTATCCTAGGGAGGAAAACCTAGATGTGGGATTGCAGAAGGGGAACAGCTGAGGGCTGCTGGGTTTCAGTGCAGGGCTAGGAAAGACCGCATGTGGAAGGTGGACTTAAGTAAAGGTAAAGAAAGTGAGAATGTGGCCCATTGCAAGGGCAGGAGCCATGTGACTGCGAAGCAACCGGGTGACAGACAGCAGGGCAGGGACTGCTGGGGAAAGTGGAAGCAGGTGGCACCAGGTACCTGGGGCAGGTCACAGAGCAATTGGAGGCTTTTAAAAGAGCGCATAAATCAGGACTCACCAGAGAGAGCGGACCAACACAGTGTCTGTGTGTATTTATTTATTGTAACTCCCTTATCCACATTTTCTGGTTCCAGTTGCCTATAGTCAATCAACAACCAAGACTATTACAGGAAAATTCCAGAAATCGGCCATCTGTAAGTTTTAGTTTCACACCATTCTGAGTCATGTGATGATGAAATCTTGTGCTGTCCTCTGCCCCACCCAGGACATGAGTCATCCCTTAGTGCCGTGTGTCCATCCTCTGTGTGATGTGTATCCATTAGTCAGTCAGGATCTCAGGGATTGGATCAGGTTTTACTGTACGACAGTGCTTGCATTTTAAAAATTAGTCTACGTTTGCTGTACAAAATGAGTTCATTCATCACAAGGAGCTAGCACGTGGACATAACACAGCTTATGTTTTCCATCCTTTCCTCTCTCCCTTCCTTGATCCATGTCCCTATTTCCTATTACCTTTTATTTTGCTCTATAACTTATTTATATTTTGGCTTTCTCCTATAAGAAAAATCATGCAATATCTAAGTTTATGTGTCCGATTTGTTTCACTTAATACTATGGCATCACGTTGCACCCATTTTCCTATAAATCTAACCTTTAGTTAATAGTGATCTCCAAGCACAGCACAATCATGCTGGCAATTTAGATTTGCCAAAGAGAAGCCTTACAGTGCTTCCTTTATGTGAAAATGTTCTCAGCACATGTATGGCCTTCGGTACCATGTGCGGTTTCAGACACTCATGGGGTCTTGACACGTATGTCTTTCATATAAGGGGAGAGACACTGTAAAGAATTGCCTCATACAGCGATGGAGGCCGGCAGGTCCCCAAATCTGCAGCTGGTAAGTATTGGGAGCTGTTGAAGCTGGAAATTTGCCACTCAGGCACAGCTGGTGCATGGCTGTCTCAAGAACAAAGTGTGTCCAGGCTAAACCTTTTGAAGAAGCTGTTTCAGCCCAGAAAAACACCAATCCCCTACATAATCCAAGCAATGGGTTTGTAGGCAGCAGGGCTGAAGCTGACATCATCCTTCTGAGTTTATAAATAAACATGCTACCTTTTTTGAACAATTCCTTCCCTCCCATCAGGAGGGCAAGGGCTTCACCTGACCCCAGCTTTGGTCTCTTCTTTATTTTCTCATCCTGTCAGGGTCCTTCACCCTAGGGACCTCAAGAGCCACATGGGTCACAGCAGGTGAGCTATGGGCCATGAGAGTCACTGGTATAGACCCAGATCACAAGATGGCAGGCACGGTAGGGGCCAGGAAGAGCCGATGTTTCAGTTCAAGTTCAAAGGTAGGAAGAAACAAGGCTCAGGCTGACGGCAATCAGAAAAACAGCTCTGCTTGCTCCCAGCAGGGCCAGCCTTTCTGTCTACTCAGCTCTTTCGCTGATTGGCTGAGGTCTGTTCATACTGTGGAGGGCAAACCAGTGTGCTCCAAGTTACTGACTGTCATGGTTTATGTAGTTGCCCCCAGGCCTCATGCATTTGCATTGTGCATTTGTGATTGGTTCATTGTCTAGCGCTTGGATTGGGACTGTGAGTGCTACACTGGCCTAGGGGTGGAACCAGGATGTGATGTAATGGCAGGAAGAAGGTGTGTCTCTCTCTCCCGCTGGTTTCTGCCTTGCTGTTTGCAGCTGCCATGAACTGCAGCCCTGCCATGCCACCCTGCCTTGGAGGCAACTGAGTATGGACTGAAACTTCCAAAAACTCTAAGAAATAAACCTTTCCTTTCCCAGCTTTGGTCATCAGGTATTTTGTCTCAGCGATGAGTAAAAAGTAACTACGACACCGACTTAAAGATTAATCTCATTCCGAGCACCTGCATGGCAACACCTGGAACTGTGTTTGACCAAATGTTCAACTCGTGACCCTGTCGGGATGACACCTGCAGTTACCCATCACACAGAGCGAATTGTAAAACAGCTCTTGAACAAATAAAGGACGGGAAATGATCCACATTCTCCCGAGCACCCTGCTTGCTTGCAGCCTGGACTCTGTCTAAGTTATTGCAGTGCTGGGGGAGGGAGATGGGGGTTTCAGGGTCTCAGTGTGCTTGGAAGGTGCTGGGAAGAGAAGGAATTAACAGTGTTTGTTGACAGATCCGATACACACAGGAAGAGAAAAAGTTAAGATAAGCTTGAAGTTTTGAGCCTGAACAGTTGCAAGCATGAAGCTGTCACTGCCAGAGAAGGGAGAAACTGAAAAAGAATTTTTAAAAATCAGATTTCATTGCTACATTTTATATATGCATAATAATCATATTTGTCATAGAGAATTTGTATCTGTGTGTAATATAGTTTGTTTTTTCCCATTTCCCTGCCATCTTCAACCTCTCTTCCTCTCTCCTTTTACAAAACCTTTGTCTCCGTGTTATTTTTCTTTTCTCATTTTTAAAACTTTTCCCTTTTTTCCTCTCCCCCTCACCTCTCCCTTGTCCTCCTTCCTATCTGAACATTTTCTTCCTATTTCACAAGACTTACTATACATTTTGGTCCTTATTTACACTTTTGGTTTCTCACAGCAAAAAAACAATGCAGTATTTACACATGTGTATGGACTCAAGGTACATCCATTTTTCTAGAAATGTGTCAAGTGTATCCTTCTTTATGGCTGAGTAGTACTCCATGGTATAAAAAAATCTTTATCCATTCACCAGTTGACAAGTACTTGGGTTGTTTCCAAGATCTAGCTATTACAAATTGTGCTGCTGTAAATATAGGTGTGCTTATATTACTATAGTATGATGCTTTTAATTCTTTTGGGAAGATACCCAGGAGGAAAATGACAAGGTCAAATGGAACCATTAGTCCTAGTTTTTTTGAGGACTCCAGACTGACCTCCACAGTGGTTCCACCAGTCTACATTCCCACCAACAGTGGAGAAGGGCTCTATTTTCTCCACAGCTCTGCCAGCATTTGTTATTAGTTGATTTCCTGATGATAGCCATTCTTTCTGGGGTGAGATAAAATCTCAGTATTGTTTTAATTTGTATCTCTTGACCAGTGATATTGAACTTTTTTTCATATATTTATTTGTTGTTTGTACTTTTTCATTTCAAAGTGTGTATTTATCTCAGATGCCCATCTCTGGATTGGGTCTTTAGATTTTGGAAGTCTGATTTTTTTGAATTCTTTATATGTTCTCAATAGTAAACCTTTGTCTGAGGAACAGCTGCTAAATAATTTTTTTCCCACATTATGTATTGTCTTTTCACTATATTGGGGTTTTCTTGCTGTGCAAAAGCTTCTTAAATAAGACGAAATCTCAGTTTTTGAGTCTTTGTGATAGTTCCTGTGTGATCAGATATCTATTTGTATAAACTTTGCCTACATGAGGTCTTCAAGAGTTTTGCCTATTCTATCTTCTATGAAATTTAATGTTTTTGTTTTTAATATTTAGATCTTTGATTCATTTCAACTTTAGTTTAGTGCATGGTGAAAGATATGTGCCCAGTTTTAGCCTTCAGCATATGCAGAGCCAGTTTTTCCACCACCATTTATTAAAGAAGCTATCTTTCTTCCACTGAATGTGTTTGGCCCCTTTGTCAAAGGTTAAGGTGGCTGAGTGTATCTGAAATTGTTCCTCAGGCCTGCTGTTAGCCATGGAAGAGAATTTCTATGGAAGAGAATTGAAACTCAGCTTGGGACAAGTTGAGTCAGCTATGTCAGACTCAGAAGCAGAGAAGAAATCAGGTACACAGGTCTGGGATTTCAGGGAAAGTTTTGTCTGGACACATGAACAGAATCATAACCATACAGGTGCTGTCTAAAGTCAGGAACTTGAGAAATCTAAAAAGGCATTAGCCTTCACAGGCTTTGTGGGCCAGGTGTCAGATTCACTTCCTATAGAAATACAGGGTGTAACGATGGCCACTTAGCTAC